TCTGTGTGTCTTTAAATGTGACTTTAACATATGTATTGTTACTGCCATCTAGTGTTAAAAAAGCAATATTAGTTTTAACACTTTTAAACAAATAATATAGTCAATAAATGCTCGCACATAGACGCACGCACATAGTTTTTCCATTGTGTTTGACTTTTCATAAAGAAATCTGGGCAACCCATTTTCATTCAGAAAACTTTAAAATCACCCTTAAACTTAAGTGTAACTCAGAGCAATTACATTTTAATTTCAATACTATAAAATATTACCAGTGTGTGCCTCAATAAACTGCTTACTGCTGGGAGAACAATGCACATAAATCTCATCTATCACAAATGCCGGCGGGATGTCTTCCCCCTTTATCCTGTTGTAGTGTCTATAATCCTAACGGACAACTGTCATCAAACCTTCACTTTCTTGTTTCTTATTAGGTTATTACATTTAAGGAAACTCAATATTTTAAGCTCATAGTGGCCTTCAAATGTTTTACTACAAGATCAGGCTGAAGAAGAAACTATGACCACCATGGGACTAAGACTGGAAGCCAAGATAAAGGCAACATGTAAGGAAGTTAGTAAGCTGGATCAACTACACAGAGGTGGAAAGATCATAGATAGATCTGGTTACTGAGGGAAAAACAAGGATAGGCCCAAACCAGAGACACTGGAAACAGCTAAGCAAAGGCTAACAACACTAAACTCACAAATCAGCTCTCCCTCACTGCCCACCTTCCTTCCTGCCCGCACAGCCGGGACAGCAGCCCCACTGGACCCCAGGTACAAAATCCACATAGCTCTCCCAAAGGTAGGGAGGCTGGGTGGATTTAAAAAAAATAATCTGTGAGTGTTTGGAGGAAATGTGTGTGTGTGTGGGTGTGATGTGGGTGTGTCTAGCTGTCAGTGTGTGTGTGTGTGTGTCTCTGGCTGTCAGTGAGTCTGTGTGTGTATATCTGTGAGTGTGTGTCTGTGAGTGTGTGTGTCTGTCAGTGAATGAGTGTGCGTGTGTCTGTCAGTGTGTCTGTCTGTCAGTGAGCCCCCCTATCCACTCAAGCTTCCCTACCCACCATACAGAATCCCTACACACTCACAGACCCCCTACCCACATTACACCCCATCTACCCACCTTACAGCCCCTCTACTCACCTTACAGAACCCCTACCCACCTTACAGAGCCCCTACCAACTCACAGCCCCCTACCCACTCACAGTCCCCCTGCCCATTCACAGTCTCCCTACCCACTGACAGCCCCCTACTCACTCAAAGCCCACCTACCCACTCACAGTGCCCCTACCCACTCACAGCCCCCTACCCTCTAACAGACTCCCTACTCATTTACAGTCCCCTTACCCATTTACAGCCCCCCTATCCACTGACAGCCCCGTACCCACTCAAAGCCCACCTACCCACTCACAGTCCCCCTACCCTCTCACAGCCCCTCTACCTTCTCACAGCCCCCCTACCCCCCCCTTGTCACAGCCATCCCCCCCCCCCAACCCCCGGCTCTGACTCTGCCCCTTTTGTGACATCATCAAAATGGCCTATTTTTAGCCAATCCAATGCTTTCCCATAGGAAAAGCATTGGATTGGCTAAACTCTGCATGGGGTGGGGCCAAATGCCATTTTGGCCAATCAGGACCTCCTCATAGAGATGCATTAAATCAATGCATCTCTATGAGGAAAATTCAGCGTTTCCATGAAGAGTGTGGGGACGCTGAACGGCAGGGCTGCTTACTGTGCAGCCCTGAGCCAGGAAACACCTCCAGTGGCCAGTTAAGGAGTGGCCACTTAGAGGTGTCCCTAGAGGCAATGTAAACACTGCCCTTTCTCTCAAAAGGCAGTGTTTACATGAAAATGCTTAAAGGGAGCTAATACACTCACATGAACAACTAAATTAAGCTGTAGTTGTTCTGGTGACTATAGTGTCCCTTTAAATTTGTTTATCTACTTATTGTGATGGCAAAGTTTCGGTGTTGCTCCATCTTAAGCTTAGTTTGATGCACTTATACAATAGTTAGAAAGAGTCTGACATGACCTTGGTGGCTTAGTAATCTGTTTCTTCATCTTATTGCTTATTGGTATAGCATTTCCCTAACCGCACAGTCCCCTGCAGCGTCACATTCATGTTAGGTATAGCCTATTATTTGCTAAGGACAGTTCCCTATTTTGGGCGCAGTTGCCATACTGGCCAACGCTGCGCTCTCTACTCTCTGTGTATTTGACTAGCTACTTACACTCATAAAGACTGATGTACGCTGGTGTGATGTTGCCTGTGTGAATTTTTTCCAATTAAGCAATATTTTTCCATGTTCCATGTCCCATATGTATACAATATACCTCTCCGTAAATTACCTGCTGTGTTATTTGTATATGCCAGTGATGTACTTGTTTTATCACTGCACATCCAAAATAAAAATGTACAAAAAAAAAAGTCCATAAATAAGGTAAATAAAACATATACACAGGAGTAGAACAAATGTAATTACCTTAAAGGAACACCATAGGGTAAGGAACAGGAACACAAACATGTATTCTTAAAGTGTTAAAACACCATTTAGCTTCTCCTCTCCCGACCCTCCTTTCCATCCCCAAATAGAGTAAAATCTTACCTTTATTCCAGTCTGTTGGTGTTGGCTCTGTAGCGGTACTTACCTTATCCGGGTGCCGGCCGAGTTCCTATATTCCTGCAGCGCGCGGCTCGCTCAGAGCTCAGATGACGGCGGTCACTGACCGCGAGATGCGGTCACGTGTCCCGCCTAGCTCTAAGAGCGCGCCGCGCGTCTCGGGCATGCTCTTAAAGGGTCAGTGGGAGCCAAAAACTAAAACGGTCTCCCATTGGCCCCTGTCATCCCACATTCCCCATAAACTCACATTTTGGGTGTGTGGATATGACAGGGGCCAATCAAATTAAATGCTAGGGTATTTATACTTACCTCTCCCTTAACTCCCTGCCCTATCGTGGTTTCTGTTTCAGTTCCCTTTAGCGCTTGTTTTGTTCAGTTGTGATTTTTCGTACTTGACCTTGGCTTTGTATCTGACTCTGTTTATCTCTTTATCCCTGTTTTGTCTTGTTTGCCGGCTTACTGATTACTGTGTAACAGACCTTGGCTAGTTCTTGTTTACGCTGTCTCTTTGTACCCTTGACCTCGGATTGTTCCTGACTCTGTATTTCTCTGCTCTACGTCGAGTCCGGCCATTCTAAGGTCCGGTAAGACGTATCTGCTCCATATTGTCAATTGTTGGACTAAATATTGCGAGTTGGGGTAAACTACCGTGACAGGCTCTGCCCCTGATCTGCCTCGTTGGCTGACATTGTCAGAAGTGGCGATCACAGCCAATCACGGGAATGCATTGTATAGGCTGAGATTGTCAAGGAGGCAGATTAGGGGCAGAGCCAGCACAAGCCAAACACAGCCCTGGCCAATCAGAATTTCCTCATAGAGATGTATTGAATCAATGCAACTCTTTGAGGAAAGTTTAGTGCCTCCATGCAGAGAGTGGAGACACTGAACGGAACTGCCCCAGGAAGCACCTCTAGTAGCCATCTAAGGAGTGGCCAGTGGAGGTGTCCTTAGGCTGTAATGTAAACACCGATTATACTCACCAGAACAAATATAATAAGCTGTAGTTGTTCTGGTGACTATAGTGTCCCTTTTAAATAAAAAATTTTGAATGTCACTCATAAAGGTTATGTTAAAAAATAAATATTAAATTGTTCAGAAATACATTTCTCCCATGAAATCAAAATAATTGATTAGAATATTTTTATATAAGCAGGTATCAAACAGAATACATGTTGGCAGTGTCTAGCAGTGGCATACATGGTTTATAACCTCAGTGGCAATACACTCATGCTTCACATATGCAATATCTTCAGTAGTCTATTAGTGTATGTCTTCTATTATATTTAAAAATATAAAAGGAGTTTAGTAACAGGCTTTCTTGTTGTCTAGTGCAGAAATCAAACACGCTCTCTTCCGTAAAGCAAACATTTCATTCTTAGGGTCGATATTTTTATTTTATATGCCTAGTATATTATTTGAAATTTATTATTTTACGATATTCTAAATACTTGCATAGGTAATCTAGATATTAGAGTAAAGACAATGCAAAAGAAACTCTGAGAGATGCCTGTTCCTGCAAGTCTACTTCATTGAAATTTACAAAAGAACGGAAATAAAAGCTGAGATGTCTTTCACACCCACCTTACAGGATGTTACAGAGACAGATTAACATAGGGGCTCATGGAGCTGAAGTAGCTCCAGACCCGTGCCTATAGCATAAATAGGGCATTGATGAAAATAATAATAATATCTTTTTTACTATTTTTAACATGCTTTTGCTCTCTATTGATGTTCATAGTGAAGGGATGTGGGGGAAAAACTTGTGTGGACTGGATGACTATAAAATAGCACGTGTGCAAATGCTCTTTCTGGTTCTATTTCTTTAACAATGCAGCATGTCCACTTTCCGCCACATTCACCAGAGCCACCTCTTTCTCTTTCCCAAGCTGCATACCAGGAGCTTCTGCCTGCTAGTAAAAAGGGAAGGAGATGAGTGGATAGGTGAGTGCTGAGGAGGCAGAATTCATAGTGAGAGACAGGAGTTGGGAGCTGTGGGCTTGAAAGATGGAGAGATAGACTTGGTTGAGAGTTGAAAGCCAGAAATTAGCATACGGTATTCTTACAGATACATCCTGTGAGTGTCTGAGTTTCCCTCCGGCACCACCTATACCAGATACAAGACGCTTGGGAGGTATGACTATTTTAGTGTTTTCTGTCTGTTATTAGCCCCATCATATGCTTCAGCACCAAGCCTAAGAGGCTCTTACTCCAGCCCTGCTTGTTCATATGTGAGAGGCTGGTTATTCACTTCTATGAAGAGTAACTGTGCGTGTGACGTCTTGCCAGAAAATATTCTCAGTAATTCCATGATAAGATAATCAGGGATTGGATACTATATCTTATATATCTGATTCACTTCCTGGTAAAAGTAGAAGTGAAAGTGAACAAGAGGTGGATGAAGTACCTGAGACACAAGCAGAAAAACAGGTCTGTATTTTATTTATATTATATTTAAATTATTATCTCTCTACTGCTATAAACAGGGTGAATCGACCCTACGGCTTCCCTTAAGTGCTTTCTTATTTTATGTGGTATACACTAATCAGTTACAACCACTGACAGGTAAAGTGAATAACATTGCTTATTGTAAAGGATCCTTGCATTCGTGCAGCGATTATCCTTGCAGCTTCTCCCGAAATCCAACTGAAACGAAGTGATTATAGCTCCCAATCCCCCAAACATGAGTCGAGACTTCATGAAGGGGTAAAACGATCTGATTTACTGTGGGCTACCTGCCCGGTATTTATGCAGGTCTTCCACCTGGTGGACACTCCCCTAGGGGACCAGATGGAAGACTGGGACAAAAGTAACACAGTAGCCAATCACAGTGGCTATAGCATAAGCACTCCCCTTTTACATAAATCACTCCCTCTTTTCCATCCTGGAGATAATTAACTTAAGGTAGCAAAGAGAGCCTTAATTATCTCCAGGAAGAAAGAAGCATGGTTTTTCTTATTTAGCAAAACAGAATAAAAATATATAACTTTCTTTTTACACAACATAAACTTTAAGTTCCACATATCCCCAGATAGCTTGGATCTGAGGAAGGGGAACTGGTGAACTGGCATCGGGGTCATGGGCGCCAAAGGCTCAGTGATGCACGTGGGGAGCAAGACTAGCCCATCTGGTCCTATCATACAGAAGGCTTACTCTAGCTCAAATAGAAATAACCAAATAGCCATAATAGAAAAGTGTCAGAACACACAGTGCACCACAGTTTCTGCATATGGGTCTGAGTTGCCGCTAGGGATGTGCATGGGCAAAAAAATTGGTTTGGTTCAGAAATTCGGGTAAGTTACAAAATTAGTCGGCAATTCTGAACTTCGGCACTTAGTAAGCATCCGAATGTCTGAATTGCATGAAACTAATTGCACATGTCTAGTAAGTGGTTGTGGTGGCAGTCCGGGCACTGGGAGCCCTACAGATGTGTAAGTGGTTGTGGTGGCAGTCCTGGCACTGGGAGGCGGGAGCCCTATAGATGTGTAAGTGGTTGTGGTGACAATCCTGGCACTTGGAGCCCTACAGATGTGTAAGTGGCTCCCAGTGCACAGACTGCCACTACAACCACTTAACCATCTATAGGGCTCCCAGTGCCAGGAATTAGCTTGTTGGCCAAGATTCCTGTCATCATTCATGTAATTTTCTCTCCCTCTCTCTTGTTTTGCCACTTTTCAGAAATTGAAGCACTTCGGAACTTCAGCAGTTCGGCAATTCGGTTCGCCACTTCCGAACTACCGAACTTTGGCACTTCGGACATTCATAAGCATCCGAATGTCCGAATTGCACAAAATTCTTCTTAATGTACATTCGAAATGAAACGAATTGCACAGGTCTGGTTGCCGCAGATCGGTCAGAATGCCCATGATGACCTACCACCAAGAGTGCCTTTAGTGGGGGACGTCAGTGTCAGAACTGGACCACGGAGAAACGAAAAAAAGTTGTCTGGTCTGATGAATAACATTTTATTTTAGGTCAGGTGGATGGCCATGCTGTGGATGTGCATCGTTTACCTGGGGAAGAGATGGCTGAAGGATACAAGACAGGTCAGTGGAGGCAGTGTTATGCACTGGGCAATGTTCTTCTGGGAAACCTTGGGTCCTGGCATTTATTTGCATGTCACTTTGTCATGTATCACCTACCTAGAGATTGCTGTATACCATATATACCCCTTCGTGTTCCCTGATGGCAGCGGCCATCAATGTTATTCACTTCATTTGTCTTTCAGCAGGATAATGCACCCTGCCACACTGCAAAAAATTTTCAGGAATGGTTTGATTAACATGACAGAGTTCAAGGTTTTGCCTTGGCCTCCAAATTCCCCAGATCTCAATCTGTGGGATGTTTCCATTTATATTTCTACAATCTGTGGCGTGTGCTGGAAAAACAAACAACAGACTGGACAATTGTTACGGTTTCCTACAGATCAAGTGATCATACATATTCTTCATTAAACTGCTTAAATTCCAGTAAATATACAGTTAAACAGACACTTCAAGCAACATAGCCACTACAGTTTATTATTTTACTGGTTATGGCACTAGGAAGCTGTAAATGTAGCAAAGAAGAAAGACGTAGAAGTTCAATAGATTAGCTTTTTTGTTTGCTATATTACAATCGCAGAGGAGAATTTACTGAAATGAATTGAGCAACTTACTGCATGAACTGTACATTTACATCATGCACAAAGCATCAGAGACCTTATAAGAACATGTAAGACATTAAAACATTTACAAACGTATGTATGCAAGAGGTTTGCTACATAGGCGTGAAAAAATTATGTAAGCAATAAATGTCACTTGGCACATTTCCTTTACTGTTAGTTAACATCCTCATCCATTATATATAATGAATGTCTGTAATAATGATACCCATATACCTCTCTTCTTTTTTGTCCTCATTTGTTGTATCTTGTCACTGACTCCCCATTCTCTGTTTCTGATTGGATGACTTCACGATTCCTAAAATGTAAACCGAACTCCGTGATTTTCCTCCCTCTACAAATGTGCCTTTTTCCCTTAAGGTCAATGGAGCATTGTCCTAGTACCCAGTCCCTACTTCATTTCCTAATCCTTTTAGATTGTAAGCTTGCTTGGGCAGGTCCCTCTTCACCAACTGTTTATCAAATATGTTTTGTTAGAACTGTTTGTAATGTTTATCTATTGTAGAGCACTGCTGAATAAGTTGTCGCTATATAAATAATTGTAATTGTAAATGGCAGATAATGAAGCAGTGAGACTGCAGGGGTATGATATATATACCAAAGCTGCTACATTAAGTTAAATTTGTTTTGGTACTTATAGTGTCCCTTTAAGGTGCCAATTAAAAAGTTATTTCAGGACACTAATGAATTCTGCATTATGCAGAAGCACGGCTTGAAAGTGCTACCCAGCAGTATGTAGAATTTTATTGAATTACACAATTGGTCAGACAGTCCTTTCAAACTCTGCACCCCAGAAGACAGAATTCATTAGTGATCCAGAGGTAGTTTAACTTGTGATAATCTTCCTATGGAAGTAGGCTTATTACATCCACCATGGGGGTTCTAACACAGTGTCCTGAGACAGAGTCATCTTAACAGAACTATAGGCCCCTGGGCAAAGCAGTGCACTGGGGTCCTACCTACACAATCACTCACAGGAATAGAAAATGTAAACTATTGACAAAATTAAGTTTAGATTTATTGATACTTCTTACAAAATCAGTGTTTAAACATTAAAAAACATGCTTTACAGCAGAGGTGTAACTGGAAACCACAGGGCCCCGGTGCAAAAATTGCCCTGGGCCCCACCCCCATATGTCTACCTCCCCCCTCACTCCCTTCACCCCCACATGCAGACAGATACACACGCAGACACATATACATGTAGACACCCACATTCAGACACACACACACGCACACACACACACATACACACAGAGATCCATACATACAGACACACACACACAGACACATACATACAGACACACATACACACAGAGACACATACACATACAGACACACACACACAGACACATACATACAGACACACACACACATACACACAGAGACACATACACATACAGACACACACACACAGACATACAGACAGACACACACATGGACATACTGATACAGACATTCTCTATCACACACACACACACACACACACACACTAACTGTTACAAACATTTAGTGACTTACCTGGGGTCCAGCGACTGCCTCATGCTGATGGGAGTCAGAGCTTCCACTCTTCTCCTGCACGGCGCTCTCTTGGCTGGGAGTGACGGCTTCATCCCAGCTCTGACATCATCACTGGGAAATCCATTGCCATCGGGTGTTCCTCAACCATACAAAGCTACAATACTGAGCTATGGAGTGGCCACTTGGAGATGTCCCTAGGGGCAATGTAAACACTGCCTTTTCTCTAAGGGCAGTGTTTACATGAAAATGCCTAAAGGGAGCTAATATACTCACCAGAACAACTACATTAAGCTGTAGTTGTTCTGGTGACTATAGTGTCCCTTTAATCAAGTGTTCAACACAAACATTTGTGAAATTTCTTTGCAGAGAATTGCTTTATAACTGACTTGTGCAGATAACAGCTGATACGTAGGTGATTAGTCCACCTAAATGTTTTGATAAAGAGGATTTAAGGGTCTGAATAAATCTTCTCGAATAATATACTGAAAAGTTGGCAAACCTATGGGGCCCCTATGCTCTTGAGGAACCCGGGCAACAGGCCAGCATGCCCATGTCCCTGTTCTCAGGTCCCTTTTTAAGGACACCTTGAGGCAAACCTGGGAAAGCAGAGCAGGAACTTATACTCAGGACGGTCCCTCTTAAACGAACCCTATAGGAAAACATAGTTATAGTGCCCCCCCTTACGAAACACCATGGTGCAGAATGGGTTAAAAACCCTCTCTGTCACATACCTGAGTCCAGTGTTTATGTCCTGCGGTGCTGGCTTGGGTTATCCTTCGCTCCTCCCCAGCAATACAATGCTTTAGTATGGGGTTTTGAGTGACGTTGGATATCCTCATCCATAGCGTGAGGACGTCCAGCGTCAGTTAGGCGCCCAAAAGTTGCCTAACAACCCTGAAGTCCCTCTAGAGCAGTGGTTCCCAACCCAGTCCTCAAATACCTCCTAACCGTCCAGGATTTAAGGATTACCCAGTTGTGTCTAGGGCATTTTTAGAAAGAAGAAAAAAAACACTTTAGACACAACAGGGTAATCCCTAAATCCTGGACTGTTAGGGGCTATTTTGGGACTGGGTGGGGAACCCCTGCTCTAACGGGACTTCCCGGGTTGTTAGGGTTAATTATTGTCTAACAAATATTCCCAGGTCCGTTAACCCCGGAAAGGTAATTATTAAAATTAATTAAAAACTGCAATAATTACTTTTCCAGGGTTAGGGGATCTGGGAATATGCACCCAGACCACGTCAATGAGCTGAAGTGGTGTGGGTGCCTATAGTGTCCCTCTAATAACTTGGGACTGTTGAGGGTTATGTGACACACTTTATACATGCTGCCCATCGTTAGGAACAATGAATACACCAGCAGAATTCATGGTTTATCTGGAAGCCCTGCTGTTATAGATAAGTTATATTTTTAATCTTACTAAGCATTTTGAGATCACAACTGCTGCAAAGGGGAGGGGGTTTTGGGGGGCATGTTAGTTAGACTTAAACTATACAGGAGCCAATGTCTGACAATATTGCAACTATTAGCTCAGCTGTCACACAAACTAGGTTTCTCTAAAGAGCTCTCATCACTAGAGATACAACGTTCAACTATGGGAAAGACAGCTATTCTTGGCTCCAACAAAATGGCTCCTCCAACACAGCGACACTGTGCCAGACGGCGATAGCGTCTCTTGTGTATGGAGTTCGGAGACTCTTCTCGGATGGGGGAATCTGTCACATGCCGGGTGCCCGGCTAGCAGCCAGCCAATCACGACGTTCCTAGCTAGCCGTTCGGCCAATGGGTGCGCAGGATGGTGGTGAGCGCAGAGGTCACTGGTTAGATGGTGAAGCCGGGCAGACTGGGTGCGAGGAGTGTGTGGCAGCCAGAGACATGATCAGGCAGCTCCGAGCAGGGCTCCTACTGAGCCGGTAGGTACAGGAGGCAGAGGGTGGGCACTGGGTGAGCTCATAGCTACATGACAAGTTCTACAGCAGGGGGTATGGGGCTGCCCCTGGATGATGGGGATTGTAGTTCCATAAAAACTACAAGGCTGCCCCTGGATGATGGGGATTGTAGTCCCATAAAAACTACAAGGCTAAAGCTGGATTGATTAGCCCTGTTAGTTAATGCAATAAAAGTAATATTTACACAAGGCTTTTTATATATATATATATATATATATATATATATATATATATATATATATAATTTTTTTTTTTTTTTTTTGGTAAATATTCACAAATGCTTATATTATCTTGTGTGTCACCAGTTGTATTTTTATTTTTATTTAATAGGAATTCTGTTTCCTTTTTTTTATGTAAATGTAGCTTTCATCAGCTAATTTAAAAAAAAATCTAGTTTAAAGTAATTTTGATGTAGTATTATTATTATTATTATTATTGATTTTTATATATTTGACATGCATATGGTTGACAAAATACCCATTGAATTAAAATTTGTGTTGTTGCTGCTGTTTATTCAGCAAAAGGGAATACTAATATATAACTTTGCAGCAATAATCCATTTGTTGCTCCATTCTTTTTAGAAAATGCTAATTTCCCTTTTTATATATATATTTTTTAATACTGTAGTTTCATGTTTTTTTTTTATATATATATTTCTGTTCAGTATTACTGGAAAAAATGTTTTTCACAAACCGTTCAATAAAAATAATTTGAAAAGAAAATGCTAAGTTTATATTTCGAAATCACACACTTGTTTTAATGATCCTAGTTGTACACGATTTACTAGAATTAGGTAAAACGCAAAACAAACCCTTTTAGTTAATGCAATAAAAGTAATATTTACAGAAGGCTTTTTTTGATATTTTGTAAATACTCACAAATGCTTATATTACCTTGTGTGTCAGCAGTTGTATCTTTGGTTTTATTTACTAGGAATTATATTTCCTTTTTTATGTAAATGTATCTGATCTATATCTATCTGTCATTCTGTAGGGTGTGTGTCCATTTGTATCAACAGACTGCTGATGGGATCTATATTTTTATTTTATTTTTTTGTATTGATAGCAGGCTCTTTCTGTATGTTTGTTTCTTGCTAACATTGCAGTCTACAGACAGACATTGTGTGTAATGCATGTCTAGTTAATATAGAATGCCCAGTTAAAGTGTACATGTCAAAAAGTTGTGAAAACCTGTCCTATTTTGCTACATGTGAGCAAATGAAAAATGTCCAGTACTGAGAAAACATAAGTGGCCATGCTTGGCATTTCAGTCTTTATTAAAAGCTTTCAAGTGACAGATCAGCTTGTTGAAAGCCATCTAACAGCAAGGTTAAATGCAAGTTAGATTGCTATCATGACACATGCTGTATATTATGTAACTCACAGTAACTAGTACCTCATCATGAGATTGCTGTTTTTATATGAGGCACTCATGGATGATTACACTTGTAAAAATACACAGAGCTGCACAAATTTAAATTTCCAAACTCACCCATAGTCTATTTGATTCTATTTCCTAGGTTTTGCCATTTGCATTAAGGAATACCATACAAACCTGTATTCCTAATGCTATAGTGCCCATATTTCTACAGTCACCAGCATTTCTACAACTTAATGAAGTGGTTGTGGTGTCTATGGCTGGTCCCTGCAGGTTTTTTAATGTTAACACTGCCAATTCAGACAAAAGGCAGTATTGACATTGCTGGCTAGTAACACCTCTAGTGGCAGTCACTCAGACGGCTAGAGGTGCTTTCTGTGTCAGTGCTGTACAGTGTGCAGCAGTGAAATTTAATGTCTTCATGCTCCCCATAGACATGCATTGATTCCATGCATCTCTATGAGGAGATGCTGATTGGCGCAGCTTGGTGTTTTGTCATTCAAGCACAATTGCCTCGTAATGCTTTCCTATGGGATTATCTAAGCCATGGAAGCAGGGCAAGCCGTAGCAAGACCGGTGAGGGAGAAGAGATGCGTAAAATAATCTATAATCTCCAGAGAGAGGGGTGGCCTGGGTCCTATTGGCCTATTCCAGGGCTATAATGTTATACATGTTTGTATTACTGACAATATAATGTTCCTTTTAATAGAATAAACTAAACTATTTACTCTTAAGTCTCCCATTCACTGCTTTCCTATGGACTTTAATGTCACCTGACCGGGTTTACTCGATCAATGCCACGGAATCGTCTCTAGTAGCTGTCAGGAAGATCGCTACTAGATGTGAACTTAACCGCTGCAGTAAGCATTGCATTAAAAAAAAAAAAATTGCAATTTTTTACATTACACTATAACTTTAGCGTAATAAAGCCATTTTGCTGTCTCACTGCTCAGTTTTCTGCCATTTAGGAGTTAAATCACTTTTTGTGCATGTGACTTGCACAGCCTTCATTAACACTTCCTGTAAAGCTAGATCTAATGTTTACATTTCCTTTGTTGCACATTCTGTTTAAATTAGAATGTCTTATCTCCTGCTCTGTTAATAGCCTATAGACCCTGTAGTAGCCTCCTGTGTGTGATTAAAGGGATACTCCAAACCTAATAAATGATTAAAATGAAAAAAAAAAAAAAGCATAATGCCATATTGAAAGTTATTCGTTAAGGTGGCCACCCCCGATTTCTTTTATACTAGTTTTAAAAGAAGTATAATTTACCTTAATTCAGCAAAGCTGGAACACTGTACATATATACTCCTACCACCATTACCACTTCAAAATGCAAAAGTGGTCATAGACTTTAAAGTAACCATTTAAAGTTCAATTTACAGAGCAGGAAATAAAAACTTCTAAATCAAGTTAGCATCTGATTGAAAATGTATACCGTATATACTCGTGTATAAGTCGATCTTATGTATAAGTCGAGTGCAGTTTTGTGACCAACAATTGTGAAATATGCTATGCCTCATGGATAAGTCGGGGGTAAAACTTGGGGCTATGAAATTCTGTGATTTTTATAATTACATACACACACACTCATACAAACACACACACTGCATTATAGACACACACACTCATACACACACTCTGCATTATACACACACACACACACTCTGCATTATATACACACACACACACACTCTGCATTATACACACACACACACTCTGCATTACATACACACTCATACACACACTCTGCATTATACACACACACACACACTCATGCAAACAATCTGCATTATACACACACACACACATACAAAAACACACTTTGCATTATATACACACACACACTCATACAATCTGCATTATACACGCATACAAACACACACTCTGCATTATATACGCACACACTCATACAAACACACACTCTGCATGAGCCCGGCGGTCCTGGTCTGTATTATGGCAATGTAAGTTGCCATAATACAGACACTGACTCGAGTATAAGTCGAGTGGGGGTTTTTCAGCACAAAAAATTTGCTGAAAAACTAGACTTATACTTGAGTATATATGGTAATTGTTTTCATTCAGGCTGTGTCAGTTACAGCCAGGGATGGTGTGGCTAAGGCTGCATAAACAGAAACAAAAGTAATTTAACTCCTAAATGGCAGAAAATAAGCAGTGAGACTGCAAGGGTACGGTGTATACATTAAACCTGCTTCATTAAGCTAAAGTTGTTTTGATGCCTATAGTATTCACTTATAACCCCATTAGAGGCATATCACACACGCTCATGTTAATAACAATATAAGGTGGAGAACTATGGAAAATTCTGCAAAATACAGAAATCGTTGGTAGATCTCAAGTCAGATGTGTAGTATGATGCCATAGGGCATCATGCAAGAATATCCCTGCCCTCGTTAGCTTTTTTTTTTCTTTGCATTGGAATGTCTGTGAAATTCAACAAGGGACTGGAATCCTTCTGATCCCCCTTTTTTTTTTTTTATAGTTTCCATTTAGCAGTTAATGTTATTTTGGAGTCCTGCAGACCCCCAATATATAGTTTAACCCGTTCACACAGCAAATTATATGGTGGGAAAGTCATAAACACTGTCCTTACCTGATGAATGACTGTCCCAGCACATCATTATTTTAATGGTCAGGGACATTTATTTTTATTATTTATATAGCACCATCACATTCCATAGCGCTGTACAATGGGATCATCCATTTACCAGCATTTCTTGATGTGTGAATGCTCTGGGAGATCAATGTCTATAATTTTTAACTGGTATAAATATGTTCTGTTACTCGCTTGAAAGGTGTTAATTTTATTGAGCAATAAGTGAAGACCCTGCTGGGGTTTAAACCTATGACACTCAGCTCTGAGCTGGTAAAACAGGTACTGAAGCTTGTACACTAGCCGACTGAGATAACTATTCATGATGTGAGATTCTGGGAGTGGTTGAACAAGTTCCAAACAGCCCTCAGCAAGCTAGCGCGAAATCCATTAATTAGAATATCTGAACTGCTGAACCTTTAAATAAGCAATTTTGTTTTATTTTTTTAAATGCACATTTTTCATGTTTTGTGGCTCAATATGATTTTTTTGAAGTGAAATGATTATTTGATTTTATCATCTAATTATTATTTTTTTTGTTTAGTTTAGTATGATTTCTTTTGATTTTCAGTATTTTAATTTTGTTATATTTTTTTTTATTTCTTGATCTAGACCTAGCCAGTTTTATGGATCGAGGAGATTGATCAGAGAATTTCTGTTACTAATGATTTTATTTTTATTTTTCTCTATTTTCTCCATAGTGCGATTTCCCGGTATTCACAAAGATGGAAGGGAAGTTTGGCAAATGAAAGAGCCTTGCAGTATAAACCAGGAGAAACGATTCATGGTTTCACAGTAAATGAGGTATTGTATAATCACTGGTCTTCAATGCAATTCAAAGTACTTTCATTGATAAACTTCAATTAAAATAATTTGAGTCTTAATTATCCTTTCAGGGTTCCAAATTGAAAGTCTCCCATTAAACATCGGTCTAAATGTTTTATAATCGGCTCCTTGAGCTGATATCCCCAGGTCATACTTGAAAACGAGAGAAATCTCAATGTATCCTTCCTGGTAAAATAAATATATATAATTTTTTTTTTTTATTATTCTTTATTTTTGCCGTAGTCAGTTACATAAGAGACATAACTTGTGATACAATAGTCAAAATATGACAAAATGGTCAGTGACATACATTCAATCTTAAGGTTAAATTTGATATGTGTTTTTTAAAAATTGTTATGAACTGAGTAAATCGCCGTGCCTAGGCACTTAGTGTAGGTGTTCTAAGCAGTAGGCTCAGTATAAGTGCACGGCAATGTTCAAAATGGAAACACAACAAGAAAAAAAAAAAAAGATGAATACGATCTTAAAGATAGGGGAAGTGGGAAATTATTAGTGCAGACCTGGGGGGGGTTGGTGGTAATAGGGGAGCTAGCGTAACTGGGTTATTCTTTGTATAGATAGAAAAATTGAAAATAAAGCATAAAAAACAAAAAGTAGGTGCTGCAAGGTAACTGCAACAACGGTCTTGCTCTAGGAGGCTGGAACAAATGGGATTATGGTCCCATGCTAGAGTTGCAGATATGGGGGTGCGATGCAGACCAAGCCTGGTCAGGATAGAGTCCATCTCGGAAGCACGAAAATAATTCCGGGACGGGTGTAACCTAAGTCCCCCACGATAAAATATTTTATAAATAAATATCTTACCATCAAGCTTTGAAAATGTGTGCAGGATGGTGCATTAGGCCCAAAACGATCAGGTTGTAATACTGGTTAAAGGAATACATTGTACATTTCTTTATAAACAGTTTATTTATTTTTTGTGTTCGATTTTTGTTTTTATTATTCTATCCTGTGCGCATTCATATCTCTATTTGTAGTTATGTTTGTTTGTTTTTCTGCATCTATTGTGTGAATTGATTGATTTAAATAAAAAAATAAAAAAATGCTGTGCTCTTTTACAATTTTTCATTTGCGTTATCAAGCTGCTGATCTTTATTTTTTTTCGTTTTTGTTTCTTTGTTAGGTTACACCCGTCCCGGAATTATTTTTAACTGCTATTAAGCTCAGCCATAATAACACGGGAGCAAAATACTTGCATATCGCAAGAGAGGATTCCAATAATTTATTCAGGTAATGCAGCGGTTAATACATGTTTGTGGACTTTCATGGCTATAGTGCTGCCTGGGCACTCTGTTTTGAAGCCAGCAGTGACATAAATTTTGGAGTTCTTAACATAGTCTCGAAAAAACAGATGTAATATTTTAAATAAATAAAATTAAAGATTTTTTTTGTTGTTGTTGATATTATTCATATCCGTATAACCATAGAAAGAGTTTACCAACATTAGTGTGACTCCCATTACCCTGTGACTTTTATTTTTCAAGTGTTCAGTTTAGAACAACACCTCTGGACAGTACTGGCGTTCCACACATACTGGAACACACCACGTTGTGTGGCTCTGAGAAATATCCATGCAGAGATCCATTCTTCAAAATGCTGAATAGATCGTTATCTACATTTATGAATGCATTCACCGGTAAGTTTATAAAAAATAATCTCTACCTGCACCCTATTGCTAATGTGAGTCAAAATTGAGGCTTTATTCACTTATTAGTGAACTGCAACATACTGAAGACAACATTACAAAATTCAAACTATAATTTGCCAGACTGTGACTATAGCAGAGGTGGAAGTAATTTTTTTATTTTTTTTTAGTTAGCTGCTTTGTTCTTCAATTTGGAATTTGTTTTCCAGATCTGTCTAATCTACTATTTAATAAATCCACTGTGTGCATTTCAAAGTTTTGTACCTCGCCCTGGTGGTTCACAAGGAAACTAAATAGTTTGCAGTAATTAAAATGTAAAATGGAATTGTCAAGGTGCACCTCTCAGAGAGGAACAGTTACAGTAATGGAGACGAGGATTTTTGGATCAAATACAGTGACGCCCTTAATATTTCAATATTTTTCCAAGGCACCACAAGTCAAAATTTCTAGGTTGTATATCTGCCCAGTGCTGCGGCATTTACTGGCGCTATAGGGTAATGTACAGTGTTTGTGTTTAAAGCGGTTCTTGCATACAGTTATTGTGTTTTAATATAGGGGTGTGTTTGAATGTAATGTTCACTTTTAAATGCGAATGTACATTTGTTTGAACTATTTGTGTTTGGGTGAAAGGGTGTGTTTGTATATCCTTTTTGAGTTTGAATTCAGGGATGTGTTTGAATGTAATATTTGTGTTAGATTGCACGAGTGTGTTTGTGCTGGTGTATGACTGCTTGGATGTATACAATAAACTACCAGATACATGCATACATACACAGATATACATACACACAAATTCATATAGACACTGACACACACACACCTTAACACACGCATACACCAACATATACACACACACGCACCCTGACACACACAAACATTGATACATACATGATACAGATACACACACACACACAATGACACACAGATGCACAGACACATATCCCGACACACAGATGTGTGCGCACAGACACACACTGACATATACACACACACACACAGATGCACAACCTGACACACATGACACACACTCTCATACATACATACGCACACACTCATACACACACAAGTGATATTAAAAATATCTCCTGCTACCCTCCTTTTAGCTTACCTTGTGTGTCCTGGAGGTTGGCTTGGACTCCTGCTGGCTGGTTGGAGTGAGGGGTCTGTAGCTCTTCGTGTTCCTCTCCCCTCGTGCTGCGGCTGCCTCCTCTCCCTCCCGCGCTGTCTCCCTGCATGACGCTGGGAGGACGTGACAGGCTGTCACTTCCTCCCAGCCCCCCGACATTACAGGTGCATGGTCCTTTGAGAATGTGGCACCCGACTGGGCCCCGGTTCAGCAGTAATGCCCGGTCATAGCACCGGAGAATCATACCGCAGAACCCATGTGTGCACGCTGGGGCACCGCAGCACATAGTTTGGGAACCGCTGATATGTATGTGTGTGTGTGCTGAATTGTTTTTTAGTTTAATAAAACAAACGCTAACACTACAAAGTTGTTGAAGATTCAATATTGTACAGTTAAAGGGACACTATAGTCACCAAAACTATTTTAGCTTAATGAAGCAGTTTTGGTTTATAAATCATGCCACTGCAGTCTCACTACTCAGTTCTCTGCCAGTTAGGAGTAAAATCACTTTGTTTATGCAGCCTTAGTCACACCTTCCTGCATGTGACATACGCAGCCTTCCTAGACACTTCCTCTAATGTTTAAACTTCCTTTATTGCAAATTCTGTTTAATTTCGAATTTCTTATATTTTGCTCTGTTCATAGCCTGTAGACTCTGCAGGACCCTATTGTGTGTGATTAAAGTTCAATTTACAGAGCAGGAGATAAAAAAAATAAATAAATTACTTCTAACGTAAGTTAACATCTGATTGAATTGGAAGCCATTTTATTTTCATGCAGGATGTCAGTCAGAGCCAGAAGAAGTGTGGCTAAGGCTGCATAAACAGAAACAAGAGTGATTTACCTCCTAAATATCAGAAAATGAAGCAGTGCGACTTCAGAGACATGATCTATGCACAAAAACTGCTTCATTGCTAAAGTTGTTTTGGTGACTGTAGTGTCAATTTAACAGGTATTTTATATTCCTATTATTTAAACGCTAAAATAAATAGACGATAAACATAAAGTACTTCGGAGAGAAATGAAATAAGTATCTTGTGAAATTATTATTTTTTTAATATGGTTTTATTTTTCATATATACAGATTAGTATGACTACACTAGGCACCGACAGGGGATTTAATGCAAATCAGTCTGTATGATTGCAAAGTTTAGCAAGTTTGCTAGCGATGAGCCCCATTAACACTAAAGGAGATTTTGCTGAACAGCCCAAGTCACTTACCAAGCCAGTGTAATGGCCGTGGGATCTCTGGGAAACGTTTCTAAGTAAACCAGTGCATTCTTTTTGCTGGAGTCCTGTGCTGAATATACATTCTACTCAAAGAAGTTGACAGAATGGCAAAATCATAAAAATGAACAGCTATACAAACATTTTGTTAAAGCGTTGTCATGGCAGTTTGGCAAGTTTGCTTATTTGTGAGATCTAATTCAGTCAGTGGATGTAAAGTGATTTCATACAAACTTAGTGTAGTAATAGTCTTTCCTGGAATGGATTGGGAAAAAAAGGAGAAAATAAACCCCGATAAAAAGGCATTCCTTTTATGTTTCAGCCAGCGACAACACAATGTATCCATTTTCAACACAAAATCCCAAGGATTTTCAGAACCTCATGTCTGTGTATTTGGATGCTGTTTTCTTCCCATTCTTGAGGGAACTGGATTTTTGGTAAATATATATTATAATGGAATATTACATGCAGATCAGAGTCGCGGGACTTGCAAGGTTGGGTAATACCACTGTTTATTATTGTAGGCAAGAAGGATGGAGACTAGAGCACACAGATCCTACAGATCCTAACTCTCCGTTGATCTTCAAAGGCATCGTCTTTAACGAGATGAAAGGAGCATTTGTAAGTTGTATTTTTGTTTTTTAATACTTTATACAATTCTAGTTTAATTAAAACGGCCTCGATTGTAAATATTTTTTATATAAACTTCTTAAATAATTGTAATATTTTTAAGAATTTTTTTTTTTAATCCAAAAATAGTAAATTATTTTACCAGCTTATCCTAAAGTATTAAATTGAAGACCGTGTTAGAAAGGTAGAAGTGTTGTCCTGTATCTCATATTAGCAAATTCAGAAAAGATTGTTACTAAATCTACAGGATTTGCAAGCAAACAGTGCTTAGAAAAAACCCATTCAGAAATGGCCATTCTTTTGTTACAAGAAAATTGAATATCATTAAGATGGATAATGATATGATAAAACATTTTATTAGCTGCCTGTAACAGATCCCCTATACTCAGGCTGAGTATATCCATTATAAATCTCCAGAGTCCAAAGTGCAGTAGTAGTGATGTCCCGAACGGTTCGCAGCGGACGGCGAACACATGCGCTGTTCGGTCCGCCACCTGTGTCATCATTGAGTAAACTTTGACCCTGTACCTCACAGTCAGCAGACACATTCCAGCCAATCAGCAGCAGACCCTCCCTCCCAGACCCCCACCTACTGGACAGCATCCATTTTACATTCATTGTGAATCTGCATTCTTAGTGAGCTGTCCAGGAGGTGGGAGGGTCTGGGAGGGAGGGTCTGCTGCTGATTGTCTGGAATGTGTCTGCTGACTGTGAGGTACAGGGTCAAAGTTTACTCAATGATGACATAGGGGCGGACCGAACAGCTCATATATGTTCGCCGTCCGTGGACATCACTATGCAGAAGTGATAATAGAAACTATATATAAACAAGATAAAATCCTCATCAGTGCTTAATTTTTTCAAGTCACTGTTACTCCTGAACACTTCTGAACTTTGACGAACGTCTGCTTCTTATCCATGCATGTCAGGAGAGCCCCACCGAACGACGCTCTCCTGACATGTGTGGATAAGAAGCAGACGTTCGTCAAAGTTCAGCGGTGTTCGGGAGTAACAGTGTCCGATTGTAGTTCCATGAACTTGATGACCGAACACCGCTGCTTGCATTCTTGCGAACAAGATGGCCGCTAACTCAGTTTCCACGTGTTCGTGCATACGAACAGCGGCCCCCCCAGCCGAACAATTAGAACCCTCGATGATTGAGGTGTCAGGGGAGGTCAATAGGGGTTAACAAGCACAGAAGTGGTCAGCAGTTCGTGAGTCTGTTCGGTTCCCGAACAGCACAAATCAATTCCACGAACCAAGTCCTTTCCATGGCCCATAATCCTGGGGCAGGAGGCTAGCAAGAAGGAGCTTGTGGCGAGGCAATTTTGTCACACTGCCAATCCAGCCAAGTATGAGAGTTATAGCTATTTATTTAATCATTCTTTTGTTGTGCTCTTATCCAGAATACTTAACTTTGATCAATTGTTAAGATTTTGTAATTTCTGCAGACAGAGGGCTTTATAATTTGACATATTCGCATAGAAGGAGTAAAAAGCTATGTACTATGAATTTTTTTTTTCTTCTTCATGGAAAGAAATACACCATATAAGTATTTGCTTAAATTGTGTTTGCTATAGGTTTATTTTATAATAGTTGTTCTCTCTTTCTTCCATCAGGCTGACAAGGAGAGAGTGTTCTTACAGAAGGGACAGACCTGGCTGCTCCCGGATCACACGTATGGCGTTGTATCAGGAGGAGAACCATTAGACATTCCAGATCTCACTTGGGAGAAGCTAAAGCAGTTCCATTCCACATATTACCACCCGAGCAATGCAAGGTACTGCTGTGTTTCAATGCCCAGTCCGTTATATTAGTGAACAGACAAGCTGGGTTCTTAACCTTGTTACCTGTATATGGTCAATTCGACAGTATCAATAACAAATATAGCCATAACTGACCACCTTCTACACAGAGAGTATTCTCTTTAAAGGTCCACTATAGTGCAAGGAAAATAAACTCGTTTTCCTGGCTCTATAGGGTCTTTGGGTCCCCCCCACCCACAGGGTCCAACTCCCGCTGGGCTCTAGGGGGAGGAAGGGGTTAGACTCTTACCTTTCTCCAGCGCCGGGCTCCCTCGGCGCTGGGGACTCTCTTCCCTTTTTCCCACGTCATCCGCCGAATTCAATCAGTCCATAGGAAAGCATTTCTCAATGTTTTCCTATAGACGGCAGCGTCTTCTCACTGTGAAAATCACAGTGAGAAGCGTGGAAGCGTCTTTAGTGGCTGTCAATGGGACAGCCACTAGAGGCTGGATTAACCCTAGTGTAAACATTGCAGTTTCTCTGAAACTGCTATGTTTACAGCTACAGGGTTAACCCTAGATGGACCTGGCACCCAGATCACTTCATTGAGCTGAAGTGGTCTGTGTACCTATAGTGGTCATTTAAGGACAGGAAGTGCTGTTCCCTTTCAAAAGGTCTACACAGGAAGAGGTGGTACTACCTCTGAAATACGCAGAAATTTGCATTTTTGGAAGTGGATGAAGTTACAGATATGGATATATGGTTATTCTTAATTCTTTATGATTTACTTGAATATGGAATTTAAAAAAGAAAAAACACAAAAGCAAGGCCTTAAATGCACTTTGTAGTGTTTAAAAGAAACTATATATAAACAAGATAAAATAATCATCAGTGCTTAATTTTTTCAAGTCTATGAACTCCTTCACGGTGAATGGAAAAAGTAAATTAAAAATATGTGGCTTGTTGGCATACTTGGTGTGGGTTCCTCAAAATTGAACTAGTTTTATAGCCATCCTTCCGCATGCCATTTCCACCTAGGTGATTGCTATAGTACAAATCACAAACGGTTATTTTTACACTTATTTAATAATGCATGGCCCTAATATTACCCTTATCTGTTAGAAGGGTATAACAAAACCACATCCCAAACACACTGCCTTCATTCTTACAGCCCAGAGATAGAATAATAGAATGGAACATAAGAAATACAAAACTGGGGCCTTCATCAAGGTACAATTTCAGCATAAATAGACAAAATAGGCTGCATTTGATATCAATCAGCTTGCACCTGTCATATATCTCTGTTATATTCTGTGTGTGTGATGTTCACTTTTTTTTTCTTCTATAAACGACCTGACGTTCAGATTTTTTACGTACGGCAACTTTCCTTTGGAAATGCATTTAAAGCAAATACATGAAGATGCCTTGAGTAGATTTGGAAGAATAAACACTGACACTATGGTTCCAGCACAAAAGCGCTGGCAGTCTCCTGTAAGTATTCACTTTCACTAGCTGCATCCTGATAGAACATCAAATATAGAGTCTTATTCACTAAACTTGGAATAGTGGGGAACTGACATGGGATTTACAAATTTTAGGCCCATATAACAAGCTGGGAAAAGCTTATTTGTTTTTTTAGTTCATGTATTTTGCTCTGAAATTTACAATTCTCTGGTCAGTTCCTGGTTTGGGGAACAGATCTCATAGTTTGTTAGCGTAGTTTATGTACACACAAAAATAAACGCACTTAAAAAAAAAAAATGTTTTAAATGTTTACTAGTGTGTGAACTATATTGTGAAGCTCTATTTTATTTAGTTGTAAATAGTAACATTGTAATATACATTGTTATATTTTCTTTTTTCTTTTTTGTGAATGATTTTTTTTTTTTCTTGTTTTGCAAATGTTGTACATATTGGTGCACAGTTATAAGATCCACTTTAGTTCATTATTTCAGGTTTAATGTTTCTCATTTCATACTATTTATTTTTGAATCTGAGTCCATTTCATTCTTAGAACCTGTGCTGGTGTTATTAAAGGACCACTATAGTGCCAGGAAAACAAACTAGTTTTCCTGGCACTAAAGGATCATTAGGTCCCCCCCCACCCTCAGGTCCACCCTCACGCTGGGCTGAAGGGGTTAAAACCCCTTCAGCCACTTACTTTTCTCCGGCGCTGGGGGAATTTTCCTCCCTCTGCCGATGTCAGCTCCGAATGCGCATGCGCGGCAAAAGCCGCGGGTGCATTCAAACCGCCCATAGGAAAGCATTACTTAATGCTTTCCTATGGATGTCCAGCGTCTTCTCACTGTGATTTTCACAGTGAGAATTGCGGAAGCACCTCTAGTGGCTGTCAGAGAGACATCAACTAGAGGCTGGATTAACCCTCAGTGAAACATAGCAGTCTCTCTGAAACTGCTATGTTTTCAGCTGCAGGCTTAAAAGTAGAGGGACCTGGCACCCTTACCACTTCATTGAGCTGAAATGGTCTGGGTGCCGAAAGTGGTCCTTCAAATTTGTAGCATTTCCTTTTACCACTGGTTTTGTGTGAAGGTTCGTTTTACTGGAAAACAAATTTGGATAGTGACATCTCGTCCTTCTGTAAACTAAAATCACAAAATAAACCTTCTTAGAAAGACTGTTAAAATAAAAAATGTGGTTGTTTTGATAATTTTTCGATATTGCGTCATCTTTTCCATCTATAACACCAATCTTCATGATTACACATTCATGTTCATGCTCAACCTAGTCCCCATGCTGTTTTAAACCCTTTGGATCATTCATGAAATGTGAAAATTGCTGCCCTAAGCATCCTACGTGTCTGTCAGAATGAGTAAGAAACATAGGTAGTGGCTATAAGTTTTTTTTTTTGTTTGTTTTTTTTTTCTATTTTTTGTTGTGCATTTCATGCATGTCTGTCAATCTATCTACTGTATGTCAGTGTTAATAAGTGCTTTTGTCCTTTGTAGAGGGAATACCACGTAACCTGTGCCCCAGACTCCTTTGCTTCTGATCCATCTAAACAGACAATGGTCAGCATTAGCTTCCTGTTATCACAGTGAGTTTTTCACCCATTTACCATCATTGTATTTATTTGAGGGTTCGATCACTCAACAGCTGTATCCCCTAACCGCACAATTAGAAAAAGAATTCCAGATCTGTTGCTTTGTTCTTTGTAGGAGTTCCTTTAACTGCTCACAACTTATTTTCTAGTGCTGGGCTGGGGTAGGCAGCCTTCAGAACCCCAGATGTTGTAGACTACATCTCCCATAATGCTATTACAGCCATAATGCTGGCAAAGAATCAGAGAAGATGTAGTCCACAACATTCCGATGGCCAAAGGTTGCCTACACCTGTTCTAGTGAGTGAAATATTAAGATTGGAAACAACAAACTTTTTCTTTGAGAGAAGCGACTGCTATTCAAGCTCGATATAGAATACAAAGTGAGTGCTGCAAACAGGCATATTTATATTGGGATTTAAATACCCATTGCTATAACGTGGTGTCAAAGTTAAATCTCTGCTCACACCAGGCAGTGCCAGTTATCAATAAATACCTGGGGCTCCCCTCTACCAACTGGGGCCACAGACTTTTTGGTTACCGACAAATAAATGAGAAAGCTGGAAATTGCGGTTGAACGCGAAAATGCAAAATTGCTTGTATCCTTAAGTGAACGAAAAGCATCTGAAGCTCTGTTCATAAAGGGTTAAAGGAATACTATGGCACTAGGGATTCAAGCATGTGTTCATAACGCTATAGTATCCCTGTCCCTAGTCAGAAATCTAGGGACAGCTAGCCAGCATCGAGGCTCTCTTGGCTCTTCTTACCTCTCCTCCTTCCGCAACATCACACAGGAGGCATTGAGTCAATGCTTTCTTACGGGGGGCTTCTGCGTCACGTAACTAAGTAATACCTACAGCCACTAGAGGTGTGTTTAACTCTGTGATGTAAATATTACAGTTTCTAAAGAGCTGTATTGTTTTACATTGTAGGTTTAAAAGGACAGGACGCATTGAGATAAAGTGGTCTGGGTGACTAAAGTGTCCCTTAAGGAAACATAAAGTAGTACTGAACTTATCTGATGATTATTACCTGAGTTTATAAGTATATCATGGTATTTTATAACCAAATTTTTTTTCATATGGAACACAGAATTATCTCATATTTGAAATGTATTTGTCTGTCTTTCCATAGACTTACAGATTCTTTTGAAACCTTTACGTTATCCCTTCTGTCTTCGTTATTGGTTAATGGACCTAATTCTCCTTTTTATAAAGCCTTAATTGAATCCAACCTTGGGACTGATTTTTCTCCTGACACTGGGTAAGAAAAAGTACATTTTGTTGACCTTTTGTTTTGCCATTTCATGTAAGCTATTGTGAGTGCTTTATTACATGACAACATATTAATTCTTCAATGGTAACGGAGTAAATTCTTGCCATCATGGCAGGTTATTTATTTATTTCTCTTCTTGTTTGAAGTCCTGTGATTCATATTTAATTAAATTAGTAATAACTAGATGCGATCAGTCATCAAATGCCCTATTTTATGAATGCCAAACCTCTGCTCCCCTATTGTTTCAACATACTGATAAAATTTCACTTCTGGATATGTACCCAAATACATAGGTTAAACTCTAACCTGAAAATAACCAGAGCTCATCTGACCAGTGATCAGAAGGTCATATTTAACCAATTTTAACAAATCCGATCTAGTCATAGTACATGTACAAATGTCAAAAGTGATTATACATCTGTTTATTATACTCTACTAATACTATACTGATATATGTATATAATTTGTTGTTGTTTTTTCCTACAGCTTTAACGACCACACACTCGACACATACTTCAGTATTGGATTACAAGGAATCTCTAAAGATGATATTGAAACTGTGAAAAATATAATTTATACGACCATTGATGAAGTCATTGAGTAAGTTTGAGATGAGATTTTACAGAGATGTTAAAAGTTTGTTTAAGAAGTCTTGCAAGATATGTTGTGTTATAAAGGAATTGTCATAGACAAGAAGGGGCTCTTTACTGTCCACTTATTCCTTTAATGTAAGATCTCTGTATTTTCCATGTTATGTTCAATAATACACATCTTATTAAGGTTAAGATTTGATGGCACCTCTTTGATCCATGTTCATGCTTTCTATGGTCGCGTATGGAGTTTGAGGGTAGTACAGAAAGATTTCCACATAGGTAAATCGTGATTCACATCACAGCTTCCCAGGGATAGCTTTTGTTTGTACATTCCGTTTCGAAACCCTATATTATATTTGAGCATACATTTCTTTTGCTCTCCTCATAATACGTGTTTATGTACTAATTCATTTCAGGAAGGGGTTTGAACCTGAAAGGATAGAGGCCTTGCTTCATAAAATGGAAATACAGACGAAACACCAGACTACAAGCTTTGGACTTTTTCTTGCTTCAGTAAGTGTTACTATAACCACTGCTATACATTTTTTGTATGAAAATTATTAGCCAGGGTTTAAACTGTCCTTTGCTCCCATCTAAAGCTTAGCTATCCATGTGTTTTAAAAAATCTTCTCTCCATGGCCCTAGACACATAGTTAACCTCTGCATATCGTGAACCCCATCTGCAATAGATCTGGAGAATATCGTATTTCCCCATTGTGTGGATCTGGTGATCAGGCTGTGCTGTCGTTTGAATAGCATTTGGATATGAAGGGTGGTAGCATCACAAGGATTGGGAGACTGGACGCCAAATCAACCTATACATAAACTAAGTACATTCTCTCCTCTTTCCCCTATTTAATAGTTTAAAACACAATTTTTTCTTCTTCATGTTAACCTAGTGTATTTCATCTACATGGAATCATGATGGCGACCCTGTGGAGCTCTTGAAAACTGAAGAACAAATGAATACATTCAGACAGTGTCTTAAAGAGAACCCGAAGTTCCTTCAAGAAAAACTCAAACAATATTTTAAGGTAATATAACATTGTTAAATGGTTTGTTACTGACATGTCATTCAGGTTTGAACAGCTGTGCCAAAATATAAGCTCTTATGTTTCCAACAGACATTCAACCACAGCTGAAAACTTAATCATTTATGTATTTAAAAACCACGTTGTTCCCTAGCAATGCTTCAAACTAAAGTACTAAATACCAAGTAACACACACAGTTAGATATCTTAAAATAAAATTGAAGTATGCATTTAAAACAATGCATATACGTTTAGAACGAACAGTTTCTCCCATGGTTGCCTTTTTTGAACGTAGAATTCTGTATTAGTTTTTCACATTTCCTAAACTAATGCACAAATGTAATAATTCATCGATGGCCACCACTTTATTGAGCACAACCTGTTCTAGAACCCTTTTTTTTTTTAATGTATTTATTTCCAATGGCAGATTGCATATTTGTATTAAGGATTTTACAATGTGGCATAAACATTTCTTGGAGATTTTAGTAAATGCTTTGCAAACATGTATTCTGGTCAAACATTTTATGTTTCAGACCTCCCATTCCTGCTCACCCAGAAGGTTTTATTTTTTTATTATTTGTACGTGTTCCCTGGAGTAAACTATGGTCACATTCATAGAACTAGCTTGGAATTCCAGGTGCTGTGTGACACATCACATTATCCATCTTAAATTGACAGATTCTGGCTATAAAAAAAAAAATGCATGTAGTAATTAATAGTGGTCTATGACTCCGTTAGAAGTATGTGATCTAATATATGTCAAGAGAATATTACTTCCATTATTACACAACCACCTTCAGAGACTGCAGTGGTTCAAATTGCCTTAAGATTGATTGTTTATGGAGTAACCACCTCTGATACCAGCAGTTCTACCACTGAAACATTGCTTAGATCAAGTCTCATCCTCATTTTTACTCCCCATGGCTGTGGACATGCTCCAGCAGGTTATTTTGCCCCATTACAGTTTTGCATTTTGTGTCTTTACAGGACAACCAACACCAAATGACCTTATCAATGAGCCCTGAGGAAAACTACAAAGACAAGCAGTTGCAGCTGGAAACTGAGAAACTGAACCAAAAGGTCAAAGCACTGTCTGAAGAAGAAAGAAAGCAAATCTATGAGAAAGGTCACATAGCTAAATTAAAATTATGCAGCCAAGCCATATACGTTTAAAGGGACTCTATCGTATCAGGAATATAAACCTGTATTTCTTACACTATAGTAATAAAATCGCTGTTTAGGTGGCCAGCCCCCTTCCCCCCCTTGTTAAAAGGGCGATTTTACTCCCCTTATTTCCAGTACAGTGCCGGTCTCACCGGCTCCTCAGCTGCCATCATCAGAGTTGATGATCTCAGTCAGTGCAATCCTTTCTCAAAGAAAAGCATTTAGGAGGCTATTTTGCATGCGTGCTAAAATGCTGCACTGCACCAATCAGCATCTCTCTGAATCAGTGCATCTCTAGGGGGAGCGTTTGGCATCTCCATGCAGCACTGACCCAGGAAGCACCTCTAGTGGCCGTCTGAGTGACTTTCTCTGAAAAAGCATTATTTACATCAATAGCCCTGGAGGGACAGGGTCATTAAGCTGTAGTTGCTCTGGTGACTATAGTGTCCCTTTAATGAATTAACATATATGTATGTATATGGGTGTATTCCAATTTATCAAAAGGCCAGCAATTGGTATATTTTCAACAGTACTACCTATATGTTTTATTTCCAATATTGCGATACAAAGCCGAGGTAACAAAGTTAACACGGTTAAGCTGGACACTTCCTACTCCAACTGCAGAGAGAAGAGATTTAGATTTTGTTTTCTAGCGGTCTGATTAGCACAAACAGGTTAACCCTAAAATTAACTCAAGGCAGTGAAAATGTATCTACTAACTCAAGTGAAACTCATTCGTAATCTATACACACATGGAGAAGGTAAATAATACGTTTTGTCCTATTCTTTCATTTACAGGGAGATAATTGAGAGACAACAATTCTATGAAAGCTTAGAAGGGATATATAGAGTTAAAATTATCCCCTATATTGTATGCAATATATAGATAATGCCTTAAAATTATAATGTAAAAAAAAATCTGTAAAGTTATTTTCCCATTTTGCACCGTTTAGTGGTTCTGCCTTTACCTCCAAAGCAGACCCCTTCCACCCTACACACAAACTCTTATCCAATCATAAACCATAGCACACCTGGAGATTAGAGGATAAGTAGTTTTCCCCTAAAGCAGTTCCGTTCATTACAGAGGATGGGCTGAACTGCTCTGTAGAATTATAGTAGCCATACAATTTCAGCCTGGTTCATTGTTTAGTGCGCTAGGCTAAATGACAAAGCCCTGGTTTGCAAATGTGCAATTCACAGCTCTGGTCTCTGATGAAAAGGGATTTGGAAAACATGAAAAGGCAGCCTTTAAAGGAAAACTATAGTGCCAGGAAAACAGAATTGTTTTCCTGGTGCTTTAGCTTCCTATAGTGCCTCCCTCTGTCGCTCCTGTCCCCCCCCTTCCCTGTGGTGCAGAAGGGGTTAAAAACCCCTTCTGTCACTTAACTGAGTCCAGTGCCGATGTCACTCGGGCTCTGCCTCCTCTCATCCCTGTCGACATCAGCTTTTGGGGAGACCCAATGCGCATGGAAGTCCCTCTAGTGACTGTCTGTGACAGCCACTAGCGTGGAATTAACCCTCAAAGTTAATTAAAAACTGCCATTATTACATTTGCAGGGTTAAGGGACCTGGGACACTGCACCCAGACAACATCAATGAGCTGAGGTTTTAGTATTTACTAAGCGCTATTTACTATTTTGCTACTTAATGATGCAAGCCTACTCCTGATGTTTCCATTCACGTGGCATCATTCTGTTTTAAATGCTATTCAAATCCAGGTAATGTCATCCACTTGGCATTACTCTGCTGTCACTTCCGTGTGAGGCTCACATAATCAACTGGCATTGCTACTAAAACTAGTCTTACAGCAAAGTGCCACCATCAACAATGACATTACCCTGATCCTCCCAATGAAACTCATTTTCTCATGAGAAATGCAGATCAGCAGGAGTTTCAATGCTTTGTTGTTGCATTGTCTTGTCTGGATGCTTTGTTGTTGCATTGTCTTGTCGAGATGCATTTAAAATTAATGTAATGTCTTATTTCTAGGCTTGAAATTAATAGAGCTGCAGAGCAAACCTGAGGATGTATCCTTCTTGCCAGCCATCAAAGTGTCTGAGATTGAACGATGTATTCCTAATACAGAACTGGAAATTGCATACTCCGGTAAGACAATCAGTGAGTCTCGGGTACTCAGTCTTTCTTTATGTTCTGTAAGGAAGACTAAGTAGAACCTAGCTTCCACAGATCTATGTATAAGAGGTCCACATCAGGATTCACAATCTGTGATCTTTGAAAATTGTTTTTGGGGTGTGTATATGTGTATTTATTTTATTTCATTTAAATATATATGAAATAAAATAAATACACATATAAAATATATATATGTGTGTGTGTGTGTGTTTTAAAAAAAAATATAGGTTTTGGGTATATATATTATATTTTTATAAATGATATTCAGTGCTAAATATACTCTACTTGTGGTCATATTGATTCATTACTACCAATCCTGCTCAGTCATCGGATGTATTAATGTGTGCATTGTGGTTATTCAGGGGGTGTTCCTGTCCAGTACTGTCCTCAGCCGACCAATGGGATGGTATATTTTCGAGCAATATCCAGTTTAAACCCTTTGCCTGAGGAGCTCAAGCCGTACGTCCCTCTCTTCTGTTCTGTTGTCACAAAGTAAGTTGTTTTAAGATCTGATAATGTTAATAATGATCTGTGAATTTAATATGTTTAATATTTTTAGGAGGGATTTATTATTTACATTGCTAGTATTTGTGCAAGATTTCGCATGTGGTGCCTGTGGAGTCATGTATCCATATATTTATAGAATTGGTGTCTCATGAAGAGTAAGCATTTCATACTGCTAAGGTTGGTTAAAACAAATTCTTAAATGGAACTGTGAGAAAATCTATCTGGTTACAATACTTTGTTATTGGGTGGGGGGGAGCTTGGGAGCCATTGCTTTAGGTCATGTAGTGGAAGCACAAATAACTGAATATCTGAGTCTGCCATTCAACAATACACATGTATATTTTTGGAGCAACTTCCTGTTCCTGCTTTGAGCTCTGGGACAAGCAGCCTAGAAGTTTCAAAAGGCCGCAGCCGATGATACTGTGAGCATGGTCTGGACAACTAACTCATCTGGACCTCCAGGTTAATTCAGACAAGGATACTACTTATTTAAATATTGCTTATCTGTGATGGAAGCAATAGGCTGACCAAGTCGGATAATCTCACACTTCTCCTGCATTCTACTTCAAGTAAAAAGAGTATGAAAGCTGTAAAAGAAGGATTCTGCAAGACATGGCACATGGGATCATAAGAGCCTGACAATGAAGGTGACTTGCATACAATGCTAACATTTGCAGCTTGTTACAACTGATATTGCAGACCAGATAAGGTGCTAAAACCACCAAACACTATATATGTATAGCTGGATACAACCAGATTGCATGTTAGAATATATAGCACAGCATAATATACCAGAGTTCTAAGAGAGGTAAGTAGCCTCTGAAACTGCAAAGAAACACTAGACTAAAGTGAATTTCTGGATCTTCTTAAGCATGGTTGTAAAAACCCCTTGATCTGTATGTAAGAAAAATATTCTTTATTCCAGAAAAACACTTACAGTTAGGAGGCATAGAGTGTAGAGTGGAGATCATCACTGACTCTGGTAAATTGCCAGTAGGCACCAAAAGCACCAGTGGTGATGGTCACTCCACCCCCCCGCCCCATGTGTCTCAACTGTGCATTCACTTTGGAATAAGTTATTTTCCTTACCTATCAATGGAGGAAATTTGGCAATTCGCATTAGTCTAACCATACAAATCCCAGAAGAGGACTTACTGGCTCATAAAACTCATCCAAGCTGAAATGCAGTTCACAGAAACGAGTCGCTTGTAGAAAGCCGACACAAAGTTCCCTTAATTATCCCCTTAAGGACACAGGACGGAAATATTCCGTCATGATTCCCTTTTATTCCAGAAGTTGTGTCCTTAAGGGGTTATTTTAAATTTATTGTTGATGATATATAAACATTGTTATTTTGTTCTTCAATAAAATGATACAATCTCTTACAGGATGGGATGTGGTGCTTATAATTACCGGGAACAAGCTCAACAAATGGAGCTGACAACTGGTGGGATGTCTGTCAGTCCTCACATTGTGCCCGACGACTCCAGTCTGGACACTTATGAACAGGTGAGATATCAAAAAAAGCTTTCATAAGATCACATTAGATTAGTGTTGTAGAGGGTCACATATATGACACTTGTTACAATCTTTCGAATTGAAGAAAGCAGAAAACAACCGGAGCTATTATTATATTTTCGTTATTTTAGTATAAACGGTAAGCCCTGTTTCACTCACCGCATCTTACAACATTCCGTTTTATGTTTTCTTTTGCGATAGTCAGGGCTAATTAGCATGTTTTCCTTTTTAATATCTGCTTCACTAGACTGATGTTTCATGGCTTGTTTTAATTTCTTTTTAACTGTAGGGAGTTCTCTTCTCATCGTCGTGCCTGGATAGAAATGTTCCAGACATGATGCATCTCTGGAGCGAAATTTTTAACAGGTGTGTTTCTATAGCATTATCTTATGACCATGTCAGCTGGCATACTTGTGTTTTGAGGGAGGCTATAGGAGAAGACAATAGAGGAACCTTGTGTAATTAGCTGGTCTTAAATAGCCAGACCTCTCGTACACAACAGCTGATTAAATTTAGCAATCTACACCAGTGCTCGCCAAATCACCAGTTTGTAAATATACAGATTTTAGTCCATTCAGGAGAATTCCAATATCTGGACAATTGGTGGTTGCAGAAGCCTTGGTGTTATGTATTTTTGTATGTTCTTCAATATGGCCAAAAAAAAAATCAATTCTTCCACTAAATAAACCCAGGTTAATTTTATCAGATGTTATACACCACACTGTCAAAGTGCTGTTTGTTTAAGCTGTGTAAACCAGTTTATTAACATTAATATCATGTGATTGTTAGTCTGTAGTTTTAGAGTTTAAACAGAACTTTAATATGTTGTATGTTTTGATTTACTTGATATCTTGTTAATCCTTCCCCCCCCCCCCATGTAATATGAGTTACTAGAATTTTGTTAATTTTTACAGTCCGCGTTTTGATGATGAGGAGCGACTAAGTGTTTTAGTAAGAATGAGTGCCCAAGAAATGTGTAATGGGATATCAGATTCAGGACACCAGTATGCTTGGATCCGTGCTGGAAGGACTCTTACACCAACAGGAGAACTGGAGGAACTGTTTGGTGGAATGGATCAGGTATAGAGACCATTTACTCCAATATCCCCTGTTAGGCTGTAGGTTTTTTTTTGTTTGTTTTTTTCTGTCTCACCTGGTTTATTTTTTAATTTGAGTTATACCTCTTGCAGTTCTATTAATATTCTGCCCAATTTTCTAAATACTTTCATTAGTCCCTGGCCTTCTCTTATATCTAAGATAGCCTTATGCCTATCCCACGCATGCTTAAACTCCCTCACAGTTTTAACCAACAGCAAAAAACAAATGTGAGGTAGGCTGAACTTGATGGACGCAAGTCTCTTTTCAGCTATGTAACTATGTAACTATGTAACCACTAGCACTTCAACTGGAAGGCTATTCCATGCGCCCACTACCCTCTTAGTAAAGTAATACTTCCTGATATTATTTTTAAACCTTTTCCCCTTTAATTTAAGACACTGTCCACTTGTTGTGGTAGTTTTTCTTCTTTTAAATATAATCTCCTCCTTTATAACGTGTTTAGGTTTCATGTTGGGTAAATGTAAATATCATATTATTATATCGTGGGCTTCTCTCCCTTTTATAGAAAATGTTAAATGGCCTGCCTAACATAATTTAAAGGTCACATCAAGCTGGAGATGACTCCTATTTTTATAATGCATTATAAAATATTATAAAACCTGTGGAAAAAAAAAAAAACATATTACAAACATGATCACTTTTTAAATGCTAGTATTTATATCCTTGGAGTAAAACACCTGTGGTATGTTATTCTAACTTGTAAGGTGAGGGAAGTGTTTGTAGCTGAACCAAATTTTGCATATAGCTTTAAAATAGCAAATAACGATAAACAACTGAGTGCAGGGACAGGGGAGGCTATTGCACTGTGATCTCTGACAATGCTGCTCTTCTTGTTCCTGTAATAAAAGAGCTTAGCATTCAAGTTGATCATTGCGAGAATTAGCAAAAAAGAGAAGGGCTCCACAAGCTGTGCTTGGGTATCATTACATTTTGTTATATTGCAGAAATATTTTTATTTATTTTACTTCTTTTTAGTTAAACATGATGCAAAGGATAGCAGAAATGCCCGATATGAGTTCCGTGCTCCGTAAATTATCTCGTATCCGGAAATATGTCCTTCTAAGTGACAGCTTAAGGTAAGTGGACATATATCATTGTAGTGCAGTGATTTATAAGATGCTTAAATAACCATATTAAAGGTCTTTTATTCACACATACATCAACCTAAAGGCATTTTATAACTAGCTTATAACTTGGTGTACGTTGACTGTGATAGAATGAATAAGCCCAACGACACTTTGTATCCATTAGGTGCTCGGTGAATGCCACCCCACAACAAATACCCATCGCATCAAAGGAAATAGATAACTTATTGTCTGGACTCCCCAGGAACAAAAAAGAGCGCAAACCTGTCCGCCCCAATGTAGTCGAGGTATGTGAAAAGATGGTTGGGCCTGGGAAGTGCAAGGGGGGGATAAATTCAATTTTCTTCCTCTAATGTTATGTTTTATTCAATTAATCTCTAATTGTCTCTGAATTTATAGAAATATTGCAGTCATTCGTCTTCAGAAAATTCCCAGAAAATCAAGAGAAAGCTTATATGTGTAAGTAACTAGTTGTTTGGTGCCCTCTAGTTAATATAGTGCCAGGTATTGTTTCCATTACAAAGGAATTCCAGAATAATAAAACTAGACTGATACATGGACATTTACGTTATATATGTTCTAATCTATAGGATTACAATACATTATAAATACAGGAAATCCCATCTTGCTGAATGGGTATTTCCATTAAATAAGACAGTCTGTTAATGTCTTAAACTTGTCATATTACTGATTTTACCATTTTTATATTTTGTAAGGAGCCAACGTTCAAACCATGCCAGATGAAGACACATTTTTCTCTAGCTTTTCCTGTAAATTACATTGGTGAATCTATAAGGACTGTCCCCTTCATGGACTCGGACTATGGGAGGTAATAAAAATTCTGTATATTCAAATGTATCGATTGGAGTATACATTAAAGATCTAACCTAATGTCAAGTCATCAAGATTGATGACCTTTTTTCATAGACAGGCATTGTGGACTTATGCTGCATGCGTGGCATTTGCCATTATCTATCTACCTGTCATAGAGAAGCTTGGATGCATACCTAGTGTCTGGGGTCAGCATTCTCTGAGGCTAATGCCAGCCATAAAATAGATTCAGTTATCGATTGTTTTATTCCGAAACGCATTGTGGCCATCTGAATTTCATTCACTCAAGGTGTGGGGCTGCTAACAGTGATGTTTCTCTGAATTATTAAGTTATTTTTGTGCTTAGACTGTCTCTTTAACATGCTGTAACGTGACATGTTGGAAGATATATGTTCCAGAATAGTATCCAGCTGAACTAGTAGCTCCTACGTGTCCCTGATCTGGAAGCATAGTCCTAGTTTAGAACTTGGGCCAACTCCTTGGAGTGCTATGTGAATGTCTGATAATCTGCATTTGAAATTGTGATATATTTTATACAAATACAATGGAAATATTAATTTCTTAAAGGAACACTGTAAGCACTGTATCTGCTTCATCTCATTAACCTGGTTATAGTGTCTGGAGTCCCCTGGTACCATAATTTCTTTCAGCATTAAACAGTTTTTAATGTTGTAATGTTTTAATGCTAATCAAGAGTCCACAGCAGTCCATCCCCTCTGTGCTGCTTTGGCTAATAAGGAAGTATTACCCTGAGAGGCAATGGGCAGCTGTGATTGGCTGAGTGTGTCAGCTGACTGCTTTTAACCTGTCAGAGCTCCAACTGACGGTATGAATGGATATGACAACAAGGAAGTGTGTATTCTCTGCCTTAGCTACACATACAGAAGGGGCCGGACTGTGGGTGGCCAGGGACTCTTATTTTGTGGCATATTGCACAAACATGGTGCAACACTGAATGGAGGGACAGTGCCAGGCCACTCCAGGCACTATAATCAATTCAAAGAGACAAAGTGCTTATAGTGACTACAGTGTCCCTTTAAGTAAATAATAGAATGTGCAGTCATGTGACCCAATAAGCATTCATGTATTTAGAATAATTCTCACTGGTATTGTTTGAATTGTTCACCCCTTTGTTTACAACTGTTTTCTGGTTTGTTTTATGTACTCATTAATGCTATTCAGGATGTTTTCTGTACATTGAAGGAAATTGCCATGATATCCTGCATCAGCATAGTATTGGGGAAATGTGGAATTCTCCGAAATGGGAGATTATTCTTTTCATGACTGATAAACGCATTTGCTTGCATTGCAGTAGAGCCTTGATATTCTATTTTAAGAGAGTATATTGTTAATTTCCTTTTTTTTGTAATATTTTGTTTTAGATGTTAACTATGTGCAATGGATTTTTTTTCGACTTAACTTTGTAAAGTAACAACCTGTTTCAAAGAACCTGAAAACTGTTTGTTTTATTCTAGTTTACGTTTACTCGCACGAGTAATGAGCAATAAATTTCTTCATGGTGAAATCCGGGAGAAAGGAGGAGCTTATGGGGGAGGAGCAAAACTCAATTTTAATGGAATTTTCACATTTTACTCGTATCGGTAAGGAAGTACAAATTGAACATTTTATACCCAAAAAATAAAAGCACTTGCCTTGAAGTGATTTTGGGACTGTGGTGTTTTACCATGAAACACATTGTGTAGGATGTAGTGACCAAACTGTTGTTTTATGTAACACTGAAATACCTCCTGCAACATTACATTGTGCTATGGATAAACACAGTTGAACTGAAATTAAGCAAAAATGTAAACGCTATTAAGTGTACTTTTAGTAAAATTGAAAAGCTAGTTTGCGGTATTCATGTCTATTGTTACATAGTTCCACGCTCCTCTTCCAAAGGAATGCACAACCCATCATCATGCAATTACTGGGGTCATGTAAGAATATTAAAATAAAGGATGATGCCTAACTTTTGTAGTGTGCTTTGAGGAAGGGTCATGGGAGTATTGCCATAGTTACCAGGTAAAATGGAAGGAGTTAGGCTCATCGGCCACTCTGCAACATTTGTTTATTCACGATAAAGTATCACACTGGGGATGGATACTCTAGTGATACTGTCTGCCCCTTTGTGCATTTCTTGCAATACTGGTTTCAAGCACATTTGCCAAAATGTAATCACAAATTTTGCTCAACAATATTACAGGCAGAAGATGTACGTCAGAGTGCCCTAACAATAGCTCTATTAATAGAAAAACATGAATTAATCTGTTTTGCAAAATAATAAACATTTTAATAAATATTCTGTTAACTTGTGGAGTAGCCTCATTCGTGTGTTTTCATGAATGAAGCTACTTAACAATGTTAAATGTACATATTCTATAAACCCTTGCTTACGGGTATCTGCAACCTTGTGTGAGAACTCGCTGCAGTATGTTTGAGTCCTCCATAGAAAAAAATGAAATGAGAATGAAATGTCTTTTAATCTTAATTTCAGGGATCCAAATTCATTGTCAACACTGGCTACGTTTCAAAAGGCAATTGAGTGGGCAAAATCTGGAAAATTTACAGAAGAAGACCTAAATGAAGCTAAGCTCTCTGTATTTTCAAAAGTAGATTCTCCCACTGCTCCTTGTAATAAAGGTAAATATATTTAAAACGGAGTGAATGCTTCATGGCTGATGCCTTCTTAGTGGTTATAAGTGGTTGCCGAGCCACTTTAAAGTAAGAACCCTTCCCACGCCAAGTCAAAGAAAGAATTTTAATAAACTTAACTGTTTGCGTGTGCGTGTGTGTGTATATATGAATGTGTGTGTGTGTGTGTGTATATATAGTTGGCTGTGTGTAAATGTGTGTTTGCATGTGATTGTATATGTGTCCATGTATGTAAAAATCAATAAATGCTGGGGGCGTTTAACCACATCGCTCTGATGACCAGACACCCTAAAGCCCCAAATTCTCCCCAAAATGGCTGCCAATGGCACGGAAAGAAACCCAGTGCCACCTCAACACCAATGGGGAAGAAAACAAAAAAAACTGCGCCTCGATCGGCCCAGGCAATCAGCCGATATAGGCGATCTTCTGAGGAAGCCACATGGCGCGACAGGGCCCAAAAATGGTGGCCGACATCGAGGACTACTCCGACAGCTCAGAGGATACCCCCCAGGACTGCTCAGAGAATCTGGGATATGGAGGGCCGGCAAGGCGAGCACAGCCGACAATGGGTCACTCGATTACCACAGAAATACTCACCGCTCTCCTCTCGGACCTACGCCAATCACTGTCCACGGAGATCTCCCAAGTAAGGGGAGATGTCAGAGAGTTCACAGCCTGCCTCACCACTGTGGAGCAACTTACTCAAACGCACGCAGCCCAGGTGCTCGACCTCCAGACGCAGATGAGAGATCTCACCACGGCCCACACTCCAATGTCCCACCAACTAGCAGCCATGGAGGATAAACGCAGATGGAAGCATATCAAAATCCGAGGCCTATGTGACACGGTGTCCCCAGCTGAATTGCCCCATCTCCTCCACAAGCTATTTGCGACCCTGATTCCCCCCAGGCAAGCAAAGAGGATCCAACTGGATGGCATGTTCCGCCTACCCAAACCACCACAGCTCACGGGCACCGCAACAAGCGACCTCCTGATCAAACTCCAAAACGGGCAGGATAAAGCAGCACTCATGAGAGCCATCAAGGGGAAGACTCCACTCAGCTTTGAGGGTATGGACATAACATTTTACTCAGACCTGTCACGCACTACCCTGCGATGGCAGCAATCTCTCCGACCACTGACAACGCTACTAGTGGCCATAGGGGTGACATACTGCTGGGGACCAGCACACGTGCTTATATTACAGCATCAGTAATCTGAACAGCGAGTTACGGACATAGCAGAGATGGACACTGTAGTGGCCAAACTAGGCCTTGCGACCTCCCCGAATACAACGGCTTGGGACCCAGCCAATGTCGTCACGTTTGTCCCGGGTCTCGAGAGGGCACTGGGGAAAAGGACTTCATGAACCACCGCCTTCCTGTCTAACATGTTTAATATGTTTTGGTTATCTTTTCTACCTCTGTTTGAGGGGCTCATGGGCACCCACCATAGACACTGGGAATAACCCGGGCAACTGGCTCCACTATATCAGCCTCGCTAAGAGGAGCTGGCTTACATGCTACACAGACACCACGTCGATACCCCATGTTTTATTTGTAAGCCTACGTTAATCTAGGCCGTACCCTCGCCCCTGCTACTTACACTGCAATCGGCCACCCTAGACGACCTATTCACCTTGTTTCCCTGCACTTCCACAGCAAAGGGAGCAGGCCATGATACAGAGGCACCCCACAGCACACAACCGACGCACGCTAGGCCCTCTCATACGTGCCGATGGTACCCCCCACTGTACCTTGGCACTAGACAAACTCTTTTGTCCATACGGAAACTAATCTGTTTACAAGATAACAAACTGTTGTTTTACCATAAGTTTTGACTATCGCCATTTAAAAATGTGCAGTAATTCTAAATGCCATATTGATGTCATCAACTGTTACAATTGAGCTTCATATGGCTGTCGTGGCTATCCAAGCATGATGTAAAGCTCGCACAACAAAAATAAAGAATTGAAAATAAATAAATAAATGCCATGATTCTTTCTCTTTTAGCAGTCAATCTAATTAATACAAAATTGCTAGTCTGTAGGACATCTAATCAATAAGTCTTTTTATTTTTAAGGCATGAATCAGTTTTTAAATGGACTCAGTAATGAGATGATACAAAGACACAGAGAACAACTATTTGCCGTCAGCCATTCGGATCTGGTTAATGTGGCAGGAAGGTAAGTTGACTTTTTTTGCTGATTATAGTTTTAGCATGTGTGCACATTATAGGCCACATGGCTTCACCAGCATAAAATCAAAAGGGTAGAGAAATACATTTAGACTTTGAGATGTCCACAAGCACAGCTTCCCACCTACTAAAACGAAAACTAGCACTGACCAAAACCCACCATGATCCCAGTCCGTCATGAGAATAGAGTTTTAGTTCAAGAACAGCTGATCTATCTTGTGGCCATCCCTGATCTGATCCCTTGAACATTTTGCATCCTTAAAGTCCTATTATCCCTATCTGTCTGTGTACCAGATGGTTCCATTCCCGTTGTACCTTTGCTTCTCCACAGTATGGCAAGTGAGAATAGACATGGCATCTCAGGTTAATATGTAATGTAATACAGTGTTAGAATGTTAATATGCACCTTCTCTCTTTATCCCAGGTATTTAACTGCTGGTCAGGGCACTCGTGGGACTGCAATTCTGGGGCCAGAAAATGAAGCTATTCAAAAAGATCCAACCTGGATTATTCGATGAATTTTGCACAAACAAGAGACTATTTAGGGAAAAAAATAACATGTATTTAAAAGGATTTTAGCTTTTTTTTTTTTTTTTTAAGAATTTTCATTTAAAGCTGCTTATTTTCTGTCTAGGGATTTTTTGTATTAATGTCTTTGTACTTTGTTGGTGCAAAATAAATATAACCGTTGTGAAACCATATCACTGAATATGAATTTATCTTTTCACTTATTTGTAAATAATGTAAATATTTGTGGCAAAAAAGAAGCTGGAATCGAATCCACACCATATTTGGGGCAGTGTATGCGAAGGTCTTAAAGAGGACATGGAGTCATTGGATGTAAGGAATTCCAATACAAGTAGTCTGGCATTCTCTCAGTACAACCACTAGGAAAAACTAGCTGGTTTCCTGCTGTTTGTTATACAATATTCTTAAAAGGTAGGAGCACATTTCATTATTGTAGTGTTTTTGTTTTTTTGTATAATAGCTGACACAATATTAATCAGTCTTATCTAATAGACTTCAGTTTAACTTAATAAAATGTTATCTATCAATTTGTCCTAGCCAACATGCGAGGATATATATATACCGGTAAGTGAAAAGTTATTCTGCTGCACATTAATTTGCCTTTTTTGCTACACTGCCAGTTTGCTATGGGCATAGCAGTAAAAAAAATAGTAAGCTATAAGCTTTACATCCAAGTCTCCCAATAGTTAGGAAATTTGGGATGCTGATCAGACAGTTGGGGGTAGGCCAGCTGTAAACACTGGTGCTACACTCACTCCAGGAGTCCATGCTGTTTGTGGATGAAGAGAACACTTAAAATGTCCTGAGAGTGAGCTAATCATCAATATGGTATGAGAATGCCAGGTTAATTTTAAATATATTCTCAGATGTAGGGAAACGTAGAAATCTAGCAATACTTGCATAGACACAGCAAACATTGCTTGCAGTAAAATCATAATACATATTTTCACGTTGATTTGACAATAGTATCTTTATTTTTGGTACAGTACAGCAACGCACCCTGTAACTTGCCACTAAGAAAATAAACACAGACATTCAAACATTGCACATTTATTTGTGGATCCATTACATCTCTAAGTGAAATAAATGCAACTACACATATTGCACTGGGGACCACCTCAAAGATGAGTGTCTTAGTTCGTTTTTTGCAATTGAAGAAAGCAGTATTTAATCCAATACTGGGCTTAGAGCACTAAAGGTCAGTATTTTGTGATCAAAGATTTTTGAAATCGATTATTCATTAGACCAAAATTTTTGGAGTACCATTCTGTTTCTTAGTCTCCATGAGTCATTTTCAAGCTGTTAAACTGCTTGTGTGGTTAGCAGGGGATAACGTGAGAAATAGCATATGACAAGTGACAAAAAGTGAGGTAAATGTGATATAACATGAGGTAAAGTAGGTCATAAAACATGAGTTAAAACATTATTCTGATACAATTCATAAGAAATGCTATGGATATCACAAACAAGTATGAGATAGTATATATTATATTCCTATGTCTACGCTGAAAGCAGTTAGATACCAGCAAGACACACAAACAGCCTCCATCTTGATACTTGTCCTGCCTTGCTTCTTTTTTTAATAGTCTATATCATTTTATAAAAGCTATGGTTCACACTTTGGGAATTATTTTAGAATTGAAATGTTGACTAGTAGACCGCATTTTGGCATTATGACAATACTATACGTATTTTTGTTTAGGTCACGGCGTAATGTCCATTTTTGTTGTGATGAAGCCTAGTCGGTCAGATTCAATTTTTTTCATCTGAAATTATAACAGTGACGCGATTGATAATATATCCTATGAAGAAAGAGTTTCACAAAGTTTTCACCTCTTGTGGCAGTAACAGAAAAAGGTGATCATTATTAAGGAACAGTGCTATGCCATGACTGAGCACCTGATCACAATTACGGACCTTTAGTGAATGAAGCCCACTGTAGTCTACCAACTTGGTGCAAGGAGCAGTGTTGCTCTCTCGGATGTTGCTAAAAGGTTCCCAAAAGAGTATTGGTGGATGTAGTAATCTTCTAAATGGTCTTCCTTTTACTTTTCTACATGATTTCCAGGTTTAAAACTGTGCCTAGGTAGTAAACTGTGTGGACATATAGTGCTGGAATCCATATAATTTAAATAATATATTCTATCGTGGTTTAGCACACAATGTATAGGCTATAATAACAGGCTTGATGGCGTAGATGACGGTCTCAAATACTTCCGGCTTCCACCTCTTTCTCTCTGCGAACAATGACGTGCTCCAGCTGGCCGGCATCAGAAATGTCATAACTAGTTTTGTATTTGGCTAAGATTTTCATTAGGGGTCGCAGCTTCAACCACCACTGTTCCTTTGGTATTCTGTGCCTGGTATAGAGATAAAAGACCTTTTTTAGAATGCGGCAAACTTAAATAGGGTAGACTGAATATTGGGTTGTTATGAGTACAGTATGTCGCTTATTCGTTTTGAGACAGGAGTGCAAGAATGTCTTCTAAAAATGGGTTTAATTTTGGTAGAGTTTGTTGCTGCTTGTGTTTAGACAGCCTAATGAAAAGATTACTTTCTGTCCCAAAGTGACTTTGAAGTAGAAAAAACACAACTGGCCGTAAAACGTGCACATTTATCTAGATTGGGGGTGCCCAAAAGGTAGATCTTTAGATGATATTGTAGAACTACTACTCTCATGATGCTTTGCATGCCTTTAGAAAGACAGGGCATCATGACAGCTGTAGTTTTTAAACATCTAGGGATCTACCTTTTGGGCACCGCTGATCTAGATAATAAACATCTTCATTCAGTACTTCTCAAAGTCACAGTTTGGGGACATGGATTGAACTTGGCCGGTTTATGGGTTTAAGGGCTGTTCCCATATGAAATGTTCTCAACGTGTGTTGCATGTAACTCATGAATTGCTTGTAGCAGGGCCAGGGAGAAACCCAAATAGGATTAATGTAAAAACATAGTATATTTAAAGTCATGCGCTAGATACCACAATCATGTCATGGTGCAGAGACTACCCTGCATCAAAGCTGACAGTGGCTTAAAATGGCTATAAACAGCCCCTGGGTCTGCCCAGCAAGTCATTATTTAACGTTCTCTTTTACTGTCAATCCAATCAAACTTATGCATTCAGCATTGGCACGTGCTCAAGTGGGAAGGATCCCTCTCTCCTGGTATTGGCCATGCACACAGGTATTTCCCCGCACAAAGGCCATTTTAGCTGTGTTTAGCTGCTATGTGTTTACAGAGCGGTTACACTCATCTAAAGTGTTGACTGAAACTGTAGCTGGGGGATCAACTACTTGGTCTATGGGATAAGATCAGGACCCATAGATCAGAATCAAATGCTCCATATTGGAGGAGGCCTTTCTCTGAAAGGCATGGACCTGTCTGAAGCTTCTCTTATCTCTGCATCTTTAGGCTCTATGAAGAAGAATATTGTTTCGTTGCATTTACTAATAGTTGGTTAATTGCACCCTATTATTTTCCTTTAAATATCCACTGCTGATATTTTATCTACTTACTTGAAGTCTGTCTCGTCCTTTAACTGAATGACTGGCTGGAAAACCAGGGCTCGTCTTCTCATTCCTAATAGACAAACGCTGTCATCTGTGTTTGCAAATATTTTTCCTGCAAATGAATAACTTTAATTACTTTTCCAGACATTTTTATTGTTCAAAGTCACGTCAAGCTGCAAAGTCTGTTCATTAGAAGCATGTTAAGCTTTAAGCAACTCAATAAACATTGAGTAAAGCGTATATACAACTGGTATAAGAACTAATGAAGGTGGGCCTGCCATCAAAAAAAAGGAAAACAAATCTAAAAGTGAGTAAATATTAACAGTTCATGGGCTCATTTGTGGTTTTAAAATCAATTTCACAAACAGCCCATAAATTCATAGCATTATAAGTGACGTATTTCGTCATATTGATGAATGTAATCTTCATTTATAAGCCAGTCTCAAAATATGTGTTTAGAAGAGGGGTAGGCAACCTTTTAGCAGCACTGTGCCGAAATAAGATTATGATGTCAGATAGCATGCCGGTCCTATTTCTTTAAATTGAGGTGTGTATGTTGCCATATTCTGCTTGTGTTATTTATACTGTAATTGCTTTGTATAGTTTTATTTGTGTGTATATGAGCTATTATGTTGTATATGTTCCTGAGCAGTTTGTGGTATTGTGTATCTTTGAATGGGCTGTGTATGAGGGCTGCTTGTGGAATTGTGTGTGGATGGATATGTCACATTGTGTGTTTGGTAGTGTGTGTATGTGTTTGGGATATTGCATGTGAGAGGCTGCATGTGGGGTTGTGTGTATGTTTGTGTGTGGGCTGTTCGTATTATTTGTATGAGGGGAGGGTTATTCTGCATTTCTGTGTATATCTTGCAGTGTGGGTGGCTTCCCTGGGTTCTAGTGGGGACCAGGCTGGTTAGGTACAGCTCAAGGACAGAAGCTGCGGGCTGCTCTACTCCAGTGTGGATTCCCATTCACAAGTGCTGCAATGCATACATTGAGGATTGTCCTTCACCACCTTTTCATATATCTGAAGTTTCACTGGGACTCCTGATAGGCCAGAACCTGTTTGGCTCTAGCAGCCTTGAGTGCCTTGCAAAGACACATTGAGTGCCGTGCACGGCACACGTGCCTTAGGTTGCCTACCCCTAGTTTAGAATAATCACCCACCAGATGATCACCATGTCAACCACCACCAGTCAGATACAGCAAAATAAGTGATTATGATCAATAAACAGAATGTGTTTTTTTTCTAGGGGACAGGTCAACATTCAGAAATTAGAACTTTACAGGTTAATACTATATGTAAGAGAACTATATTGCTACTTTCCTTTATCTATACAATTGAGAAGGTGTCTAATTATGGCAGCCATTACATTATTTTAAGAGCTAAACAAATAGCCAAATAGTAACATATGTGCCATGGTTTAAGTTTTTGGCAAAATAAAATAGTTTGTCATCATCACAAGGCATTTATGTTGGTTTATCGGTTGGATTTTAAAGTTAAGGATTACTGTACTATTTGCATGGGGATATCCTTCTGGTTACAACGTTTTGAAATTGATAGTTCCCCTGCTGTGTAACTTGATCGATCGATGAGGTAGCCCTCTTTGGTAAATGTTAATGTTTTAATCTAAAAAACTGTGTTAATTAAAACTTATA